GTTTGTGGTCCAATTGAAAAGGATTGGCAACGGAAGGCGAGAACTGCTATCTCTTCCTCGAAAAGGAGTAAAGGGTGGAGCACTTATTTCGCAAATGCGGGAAGGTGGCTCATTTATGTCTTAGGTGCTTCGGAAGGGGCTTTGTCACCTCAATGCAGGTTTCGTGGCTATGTCGGCAGCTATGGTGCAGTATGTCAGGGGCCTATATATATTGGTAATGTTGGTTTGTATAGAAATCACAAAAGATCTTATGGGTCGGCTTGAAAAGGATCTCAGAGCCTCGGCCTCATACTATCTGCATTCCCTGAAATGGCCGGCCAAATCAGAAGAGTCACAAAAAATAGTTCGATTTGTCCAAATTGAGCAAGTGTTAAAATTAGTATAAATCCGAATTTCATTGAGGTTGTTGAGAGTTTTTCATAATATACTCATAGCTTATTTTTTACTATTGGTTTGTGCAAAATCTCAACATTAGAACGAATTGTTTTCAAAATATACGGCAAAATTATTCAATGGCGGACTTTTACGTTGAACTAATTCGAACCGCTATAACGGACGAACGCCGCCAATTAACAAGAATATTCTGGCGAAATATTAGCGAAATTAACTCAAAATAATATATTGTTATTAATTTCGCTAATTAACAAGAATATATTATTTTTAATTATACAAAGATTTGAAAATTGGAAAAACTAAACTGCCTCCAATACCCTTGAGATCAATCAATAAACGAACGGCCAAGTTGATTTCGAAATCGCTAAGAATTTTATTCTGAATTTAGTGTTAAGCAAAATTGCATTCATATGTAGTATACTAGTTTATATACCAGTTAATTAGTTCTTAGTCTTAAAAACGTAACAACAAATTTGAAATACCATGCGAACATTGGTTGTACAGGTATAAATATATTTATGTATGTAAATAATTATAAAAAACTTGATATGACATTATACACGCCGTAAACAGAAAAGCTATTAAAGTTAAAATATTATTAGTTATTAAGCTATAATTGATATTTTAATGTACTGATATAAAAGTTTTTGTACATATTTCTTATAATAATTTAGTGGAATTTTCGCTGACTTTTTTTCCATATTCCAAGAATTCTGATTTCGCTGCGGTGTATTGGGTTTTTCTGAAAAACAAAAATTTCTGCAAAAATATCTGCAATAATTATACGCATGCTTCATATTAATATTTCAAAAACTATGTATAGCATAAACAATATATTTTGTATATGCAAGTGCAGATACAAAACTATAAGTATGTATACCACATGTATGTATATCTGCAGCAAGTATGTATGTATGTGACCATGTAGGAAACGGATATTAAATTATGTATGTATATCATGAAAAGAATGAAAAAGAAGTTTCCAGAATTTTCTTTTAGAAAATTTTTTTTTATGTTCATATAATGTTCATATATCTACAGCATGCACACAAATTATATGTACTTACATATGTATATGTATCTATATTTTTAATCATAATGCATAATTTGATATTTTTATTAAAGCCAGAGCTATAATACAAGTAATTAAGCCTCTTTCTTAGCACAAACTTTCCTATTCTAGTGTTATTTAGAAATGATTTTGCTCTAGAAAATATTACTCCAGAAAATCATCTTTTTACTCAAATGCATCACATTTAATTTTAAGAAAATCCCCATTACATGTATTTTTATGTATTTGAATTGAATAATGTTCAAGCTGTGTTTATAAAAGTAATTTTCTCTTTATTAGTTCATTTTGTATGGCTTAATATGACGCATTCATTTCTATCATTTTAAAACATTACATCGAATATAAAATCAAACAATGTTCGAGAAAGTTGAAGGTGCTAATCATACATGAAAACATTAAAAGCATGTATAAGATGAACAAAGCTACAAGTTTTTGTTAAATATTTTTAAATCTGTTAATTAAATGTTTCACAACACAAATATTCCTATTGCTAAAACGGAAATGAGCAAAACACGATTCTCTTCACAAACCTATATTTTTAAATGTAATTTTACGCAAATTTATTTTTAATTTTGATGTAAGTATGTAGAAAAATCTATAATATATTCCTGTTACCCTCAATAAATACAATTAAAATAATTTTTATAAGAACATCTGGAAGAAGCAGTGTTTTCTAGAAAAAATTTTCCATCTTTACCATGTACGAGACATATGTACATACATATGTCTGTACCTACCTATGTGTAAAAATTATATTTTAGAAGCGGAATCCCTCAACAATGCAGCTGGCTTGATTTTATGGATTTTTGAAATTCTGTATTTTTTAAAACCCATTTGATAGTATTAAGACAAAATCTTGTTTGAATTCATGAGAAATAGTACAAGAAATAAAAATTTCTAAGGAATAAATTTCGAAGAGATTGAATGATATCAAATTCTCAAACTATTCAACAATATGCATTTTGAAAATTCTAAAAAATAAATTATAAAATATAATTAAAATTAAATTTGTTATCTAAATTAGTGAAATATCGCTCAACTTATTTATTTAAATATTTAATTTGAATTTGTTTTTGTACAATCAAATTAAAAAAACCAATATTGTTTGTTTTTATTAAAAACATATAATGACACATACATAGCTGTATTCATACATATACTTATGCAGAGCAGGGTTTTAACAATCCAGGGCCTATTGTTTCTGACGATAGAAATTACTTTTAATACTATTTTATTAAAATAGTCAAAAGTGAAAATAATAATTAATATAAATAATACCAATTGTTAAGTTACCTCATTGCACATATATATTAGGTCCTATAAGTGGTATATGGTCTTACAAATTACATACATACAAAACTTAAATAATCCGTAACATTAAAATTTACAAATTACCTGGCTTTACGGCTAAAAGTGACAGCCGTAACCGAGACACTGCCACAGTTCAAGATGGCCGTTACTGCGAAACCGACGTAAAGCAAGCAGCCGTATAACGAGATATTAATGTACAGTTTTATAACACCTATGTAAATACAATATCCTACTTTTTATACTCGTTAAAATTGGCAAAAATAATATAATACATCTCGCTAATATATTCGCCAAGTTAACAGAAAGTGAGTCACTGTCATATATTTGTATAATGTAATTTTCCAGTGAAAAGAATCTTTTTCATATTTCGTATCTAGTTTTTTCTAAAATCTATTCAAAATTTAATTCAATTTGTTTTTGAAGCTTCAGTTAATATTTTGAGAAAGAATGCGAAAATCAAATTGAAAAAAAGATAAATATCGGAAAATGAAATTTCAATTGAAAAAATGAAAATAATCCCGATTTGAAAGTGGGGCAAAAAAGCATAAGATGTTTATTGACACCGCATAAATCGAATAACGAAGTAAATAATGATACTTTTATTTCAAATACTTCGAATACAATCTCATTATTTTATATTTCTCATAAACTTCATAATAAATTTAATAATTTAATTGCCAAATGATTATTTTTCGTTATTAAGGAATTACTAAATATCATATTAATTTTTATATAAGTTATATATCCTATACAACATGTTTTATATAAGTATGTATATACAAATTCTAGAAGTTTCTTTTCTTATTATCATAGGACCCTTGAAATATTAATTCAGACCCTGGATATACCAACATATTGATTTTTTTTTTGTTTCCATTATAGGTATGACATTCACAGAGTAAAATCAAATACTGGTCTTACAATTCAAATAAGATAAAGAAATACATGTGTATATATGTATGTAAATTAAAAATATTTATTTTTAAAAAACAATACTGTTTTCCCGAAATTACCATAAGGAAGAATACTTTGAACATTATGAAATTGAATATTATAAAATTTTCGTAAAATATTATAATATTCGTTAGATTAACATGCAAATTTTAGGGAATAAAAATGTTCCCGATTTTTCCAGAAAAAAGAAATACTACGTATGTATAACAAATAGTATACATACATTAAATGTAACTCAAATAGAAAATAATTGGCTGAAAACAAAAGCGTCGAATTGAATGTCGAATCACGTACATATTTCAATAGGTTGTAAAATAAAATGGCTACTATTTTTATGTATATTAAGTATGTATATATTAAATATACATATCTGATACAGTTTTGTAAACTATAAAAACGCTATTAATTTGTTTGTGTATACTTACACAACCATACTTATAGTTTATTGATGCACACAATATAATGCAACCATATGTCAAAAACAAAAAACATGGACATAACTGCAAAAACAAATGTTGATTGAACTATAAAATTTCTTTGGATCCGAAAAATTATACTCTTTGGATATCTGAAGTCGAAAATTATTTTATTATTTTTTTTTAAATTTTGAAAAAAATCCAAAAGAGAATAAAATCCTATAAATAACTTGTAGCAATAAAATGAAGGCATTCTTTTACATATAATCATTATTTTGATAGATCAAAGTTTTTTTCGTTTCTAGTTTGTCGTTTCTTTAACAAGATTTAAACGATATTTCGCTAAATCTCGAGTATTGATTTTAGAATTAGAAATTAGTAGAGTTAATGTGAGGGTATGACAACAGCTCCGGCATCTCTGTATATTATTATGGTTCGTGTAAACACAAGCGTTCCATAAACAATTTTGAAATTAACATAAACTTGCATATATTAAAATAAATTTTAAAATAATGTTTATTAAAGTTACATATTTTGAAAATTTTAATTATTTAAATTTCCTGTTTCTCGTTAAAATTTTTAAAATAATATGTATATTCTTTAATGCCGCCTTCTATATGTTGTGTTCCCAAACTAGAAGTTATCTTGAGCACATTTGCCAGAAGATTGCACGAAAGCGGGACTTTGAAGCTGAATCGAGAAAGATGGTCAATTTAATTGAAATTTTAAAAGCAAAAAAAAACACATACACATATAAATTCGCGCATGCACCATTCAAAAATGCTCGTCTAGCAAAGAAATTTCCAGAAAAATTTTAGCTATAAATACGAGGCGTTCTTTGCTTTTGTGTTTCATTTTGTATCAAGTCATAAAGGTATAAAGTTAAAATAGTGGTAAAAAATTTAAGTGAAATCAGATTAGTATAAAAAAAAATTATACTTATGTATAAAGAACATTATAGTGAAGTTGTGAAAAATTTAAAAATGGTGATTTATTCAAATTCAACTAAATTTATAAAAAAGAAACCACGATGAATAAGATTCTGAATTTAAATTTGAGCTCGTTAGAAAAAACAACGAAATTGGAGTCACAAAATTGCAGTGTCCATTAGTTGGAGAATATACTACAATTAGATTGGTAAAATCAGTGTTAAAATTATCGAAAATGTAGAAATAGCAATTAATAAGGCTATAAAAATGGCGAACAAAAGGCAGTAGAAAATTTAAATCGCACATGTATACGTGCACGTACTTCAACTAAAAAGTATCTACTCTTAGTTACTCTTAATTGTTAAAAAAAAATCTTAATACACACGTCAGCTACGTCTTATTTCACATATTACGTAATTACAAAGAAATTTGGTCACCCGATATTCAAAGGAAAATTTTCACTTTCATGGAATGAAGTTCTTGCAGTACATACATATTGTATATAGGGTCGATATATAGCTATCAACAAAAGTAGTCTAGGAAGATATTAGAATCAAATGATTGGTAATTAATTTCTAAACATTTCGAAATAATTATCTGCTTTTTTTTTTAATAATTGCGCAATGGAAAAAAAATACTACCTACAGTATGTGTGCAAGTGTGCTAATGATGTGAATGTATGTGTAACTTTGTGTGCGTTGAATACTTGGTGACTAAAAACGTTTATCGATCGATCGATAATTCTAGAATTTTTTTAGTGTACAAATTCATATAAGCATATTACTATATATATACATTTACTTATATCGACTATTATTCTATTTATGAAATTAACGACTAAAAAAGAAAAAAAAAATTATTTTTTTTTTTATATTTAATCACAAATACAAATATCGACACTTCATATAATCTCTATAATGTTATTAATACAACACAAATTTTTTTATTAGTATGTATGTATAAATACGTTTACATACCAGGTATACCAACCTACTAATTTTTAGATCTGTTACAAATTCTGTTATTTTCTACATTATCGCATTTTATGTTTGAATGTTTGAAAGTACCAACTGTAAAAAAATTTGATTGATGATAACATTGCGTTGCTTGCTCAAGAATAATTAAATTGTAAAATGATTTCGTAAATTGTTTTTTATCTATTTTAGAAATTTCGAAAAATTTCGTAAAATTTTAATTTGAAGTTTGATTACAACGTTTTTGTACATTTTTTTTAAAAGTAGGATTACTTACTTTTAGTGTAATGCATGTATAAACATTTTGTCTACTTTTTTTTTTTTTTTGTGCAACAAAGAAATCGACAAAGAAAACGTTATGTACTTATTAACTTGAAGAGACAAATAACATAACATAATATTCAAAAGATTATATCGTATACGTTATTAGAAAGTTTCTCATTTTTATATATAAAACGTACTCGAGAACAACTCTTCAGCATTGAAAATTAAATTACCTTGAGTAAGCAAAAATGACAAATCGTTTTTATTTTTCCTTTCATAACTCTTTTTTTAAATTTATTACTTAATTTTACAATCATCTTAGCAGTTAAGATACCTTAATACATACATTATATTATTTACAAATATCTATATATTCTTATATATATATTAGAGCTTAATATATTAATTTAGTTTGTTGTTTTAATCATTTACAAAAAAAAAAAATATAAAAAATTTAATTTAACTTCACAGTTCAACTTTAAAAAAATTCGTATATACTTAACATAAAAAATTTTTAAAAATTTTTAGTTTTCGGCAGTACGTACGCATACATACCTACTTCTTGTTCGCTCGCTGTTGCAGTACAATATTTAAATATAAACGTCGTATAATGAAATGGCAATCACGTATGGTGGCATTGATTTTAATAGATTTAACGAGAAGCGATGTCAAAGTTTTGACAAGAGATGAAAAATAACCAACGTCGTAGATCATTTATTTTTATATCTAAATTATTTATATAGAGCATAATAATTTATATACATAATATCAAAATTTACGTTTTAAACGACAAAATTTTTTTAGTATAACATGTTACAATATTAGTATACAGTAAAAAAAAAAAGATTATATAGTTTTCTAATTTAAATTTCGTCGTTTCTTTTCTAATTTATTGTATAAAATGATGTAAAAATCACATATAACCGCCTTTTAATTTTCTTATGTTACTTTAAAACAGTTTCGTTGTTATATTTTTTATTTACTTGTTCTACTATAAATAACAAAAAACAAAAAAAAAAATCTTTTTCATCATAGTGTAAATTAAATTTTGCTTGTATTTACTTAAAAAAAAAGATATCAAAAAAAAAAAGATCGAAAAAAAAAGAAAAAACCAGAATAAGGAAAACAAAATAAATCAAATTTGAAATATCATATTCGTTCCTATTATTTACTATATCGAAAATTGTACATTCAATTATTATTACTTTATAGGAAGAAGCCACGTATACGCATTCGCATATTTCTGCGTAAAAAAACAGTAAGTAGGATTAAAATGATAACATAAATCCATAACTATACCATATTATATACCATAAAATTTATCAATAAACACCAAAAGTAATCAAAACTTCAAATTTACCACCTATATAATGTATTCTACGTAATTAAACATAAAAATTATCTTTATATTATAGATCGCATAATATTTTAAAAATATATTTTCGTATTTTCTTTTATTAAATATTTTTGAAACATATATACATACATATTATTTTTTACATAACTAACACTAATTATTATTGTTATTCATATTATTACTGAAATATATCACGTAATTTTTCAATAATTCAATAATTTACTATCACCATTCCTATATTATTTATCGTAAATACTAATCGTATTTTCCACGAACATAAAAATTATATTATAAAAATTTTATTATATTACATATAAATTCTAGAAGAATATTTTCTTACAAAACAATTATGTATAATTTAATTTAAAAATATTGCAATATATAAAACTATTATGAAATCACAAATGAATAAAGCATCATATTATGAAATCGCAAATCATTTAATAATGAAAAAACACTACAACGTCAAAAAAATATATATTAAAGCCATTTTTGTAATTATAAATATCATAACTGAATATATTTGTAATTTAAAGCATTAAAAATTGATTATTACCATATTTAAATATCGTAAATAATACGCAAATTTTTACATTATACATTTTTAAAAACGTATGAAAAAAATTTTTATCGTCACTACATATACTACTATACTACAAAGTATACTACTGAAGTTACTTACAAGTATACTAATAAAAATTATAAATTATGCGCATACATAAAACAAATAATTTCTATTCTTTTTTAATTTATAAATTTATTACCATTACTTAAATTAAAATAATATAGGAAAAATTTAAATAATTTACTTTTCAGAAAAATAAAGTCTCTCATTTTTTTCAGATAAATTTTTATATTGAATTCCTATTAAATTATTTACTAATTTATCTGAAAAATTATTTCAAATTCTTTTTTTCCAAATTTTTAATTTCTATATATATATTTTTAAAATGAATTGATTTAAATATTTTTTATTGTTTGAATTATTTATGTATTAATGACAACTAATTAAGTCAATAATGAATTATGTAATAAATAACTTGCTGTTACCCAAGTATATTTGATTTATACTTGACATACTTACTTGCAAAACAAAAAATTTGTTTCAAAAATATTTATTAATATTTATTCAAATTGAAAGTTTTATACCATCTTTTCATAATTAATACTCATATACATATAATTTTATCTAATAGAAAATTAACACAAGTACAATTACTTCTATATTTATTTTATATATAATTTAAATTCACATATGCAATGCGAGTGCTTCCTGAATGAAATTTATTTTCTGAAAATATTTTGTTATTTCGTTTTTGGCAATTGATGAAATTTTCACTATTTAGTTTTACTACAAATCAAAATTTAGATTTTTGTAATAAATAACATTATGTCTAAAAACTATTCAAAGACAAATTTGTGTCCTCTTCCCAATTTATTTTTTTTTCTTAAATTCTTCTTTAATGTAAGTTTAATTATTGTGAAATATTTGCGCGTTTAATATTATTGTGAATACTTTTTTATTTTAATAAAATATAAAATTTATATTGACAGTTCTCAATTTCTCAATAGCTCTCTCTACAAGAACTTCTCAATTAATTCTCTAAATATAAGAAATACTTTCAATATTCGTTTCAAAATTTTGATTAAAATTTTTATACCTCATAAGTTAAATTATACATACTAATTTATGTACTAGTTCCTTTAAGATTTTAAAGTGAATAATCAACAATTTACTGCAAATTCTTATAAATCAAAATTGAAGTTCAAAAAAAAAAATTTGTGGTAAATCAGTAAAAGTTTTAACAAAAAAAAATCAATAAAATTCGAAGAACACTTATAAAACTAATTTAAATTTAATTTGCACTCAAACATTTATATTATCTAATAAATATTTGCACAGTAATTAAAATAATTAACTTTGCATCCCTATGATATTTATTTTTTATTATTTTTTATATTTTTTTTCATAATTTCACAGTTGGTTGTATTTTCAAAAATCTTATTTAATTTCTGTTAATATGGTATGTTTTACTTTTATTTTTATAATTACCTTCGATGCATTAACTTTAAAAAAAGTCTCCGACAAGAAATTTTTTCTTTAATAAAGCATTGAGTTATAAGAATAGTGAAAAACATTCATACAAAAATCTACTAACGTCTCCATCCACATTTTGTTAAAATCACGGAAATTAATACATATATTTTTTTAAGTCACCGCAAATCTATAGTTTCGATAAGAACAACTGACACTTTGAAATTAATTTTCATTGAAAATATTTTTGTTTTTTTTCATAAACTGAAACTGCATTGGAAAATTCCAATGAAACTTTCACAAATTTAAGAAAAATTAAATTTTAATAACCGATGAAATTAAAGAACACATATTATAAAAATAAGAAAATCAAAGTCAATTATTTATAAAAATTATTAATACAACTGAAATAAAAAAAAATTAAGAACAAATATTAAAAAACCATTTTATTACTTCGAATTTTAAAATTAAAAAACATCATTTATATTATTTGTCGAAAAAAAATTATAGGCAACATTAAGATTACTTAGATCAATTATATTATTGGTCGAAAACAAATCTTCGAAAAAAATTAAGTAGTAAAATCTTTGTTAAAACGTCGAATTAGTAAAAAATTAAACAAGTTATTCAGATGAGTTATTCTTCGAAATGCAAAAAATCAAAAAAAAATTTATTTATTATAGTCTTCGTATTTATTTCTATATTATTATATTAAAAAAACTACGATATCAATTATACTATTCGCCGAAAACAAATCTTCGAAAAAAATTAAGTAGTAAAATCTTCGTTCTAGCGTCGAATTAATAAAAAATTAAACAAGTTATTCAGATGAGTTATTCTTCGAAATGTAAAAAATCAAAAAAAAATTTATTTATTATAGTCTTCGTATTTATTTCTATATTCTGATATAAAAAAAAATCTACGATAACCATAATATTATTCGTCGAAAACAAATCTTCGAATAAAATTAAGTAGTAAAATCTTCGTTCTAAAGTCGAATTAAAAAATTAAATAAGTTATTCAGATCAGTTATCCTTCGAAAGGCAATAAACCAAAAAAAAGGTATTTATTATAGTCTTCGTATTTATTTCTATATTATTATATTAAAAAAAACTAAGATATCAATTATATTATTGGCTGAAAACAAATCTTCGAAAAAAATTAAGAAGTAAAATCTTCGTTCTAGCGTCGAATTAGTAAAAATTTAAATAAGTTATTCAGATGAGTTATTCTTCGAAAAGCAAAAAATAAAAAAAAAATTTATTTATTATAGTCTTTATATTTATTTCTATATTATCATATTAAAAAAAACTACGATATCAATTATATTATTCGCCGAAAACAAAACTTCGAAAAAAATTAAGTAGTAAAATCTTCGTTCTAGCGTCGAATTAGTAAAAAATTAAACAAGTTATTCAGATCAATTATTCTTCGAAATGCAAAAAATCAAAAAAAAATTTATTTATTATAGTCTTCGTATTTATTTCTATATTATCATATTAAAAAAAACTACGATATCAATTATATTATTCGCCGAAAACAAATCTTCGAAAAAAATTAATTAGTAAAATCTTCGTTCTAGCGTCGAATTAGTAAAAAATTAAACAAGTTATTCAGATCAGTTATTCTTCGAAATGCAAAAAATAAAAAAAAAATTTATTTATTATAGTTTTCGTATTTATTTCTATATTATTATATTAAAAAAACTACGATATCAATTATATTATTCGCCGAAAACAAATCTTCGAAAAAAATTAAGTAGTAAAATATTCGTTCTAGAGTCGAATTAGTAAAAAATTAAACAAGTTATTCAGATCAGTTATTCTTCGAAATGCAAAAACTCAAAAAAACATTTATTTATTATAGTCTTCGTATTTATTTCTATATTATTATATTAAAAAAACTACGATATCAATTATATTATTCGCCGAAAATAAATCTTCGAAAAAAATTAAGTAGTAAAATCTTCGTTCTAGCATCGAATTAGTAAAAAATTAAACAAGTTATTCAGATCAGTTATTCTTCGAAATGCAAAAAATAAAAAAAAAATTTATTTATTATAGTCTTTATATTTATTTCTATATTATCATATTAAAAAAAACTACGATATCAATTATATTATTCGCCGAAAACAAAACTTCGAAAAAAATTAAGTAGTAAAATCTTCGTTCTAGCGTCGAATTAGTAAAAAATTAAACAAGTTATTCAGATCAGTTATTCTTCGAAATGCAAAAAATCAAAAAAAAATTTATTTATTATAGTCTTCGTATTTATTTCTATATTATCATATTAAAAAAAACTACGATATCAATTATATTATTCGCCGAAAACAAATCTTCGAAAAAAATTAATTAGTAAAATCTCGTTCTAGCGTCGAATTAGTAAAAAATTAAACAAGTTATTCAGATCAGTTATTCTTCGAAATGCAAAAAATAAAAAAAAAAATTATTTATTATAGTTTTCGTATTTATTTCTATATTATTATATTAAAAAAACTACGATATCAATTATATTATTCGCCGAAAACAAATCTTCGAAAAAAATTAAGTAGTAAAATATTCGTTCTAGAGTCGAATTAGTAAAAAATTAAACAAGTTATTCAGATCAGTTATTCTTCGAAATGCAAAAACTCAAAAAAAAATTTATTTATTATAGTCTTCGTATTTATTTCTATATTATTATATTAAAAAAACTACGATATCAATTATATTATTCGCCGAAAACAAATCTTCGAAAAAAATTAAGTAGTAAAATCTTCGTTC